CCCCCCCCCCCCTCATAGGTGTCGGACTTTTAAAAAGAATGCAAGGCTTAAGGGAGACAATCATTTACTTTCAATTAATGATGAATTCTGACTGCAGATTAAGTTTTAAATTTAACAATGCATTTCTAGAATCATTGAAATGCTCGACTGAAGGCATACGTGCATACATTCACTAAATAATCAGTGAAACAGTTCACCAAACCGTGTGTTTACAACTCAACGAAACATTGTCACAAATAAATTAAAATAATTTTTTTTTAAAAATAATTTGTGTTTAATGTGCCTTCATAAATGTTACAATCTTCTGTTCATAAATTCACTAAAAAACCTGTGTTTATAAAGACAACAAGTCGTGAGTGAGATCGATTTACTTAATAGTGTTTGTGTTCGAGGACATTGGATTTATTAGTTGATTAAGAAAAGAAAACATGTTTGCAATTGAATCAATTTGAGAACAGCGCCGCCTGCTAATTGTGTTAGACAAAGAGGTCGTGGTGATTTTTTTTTTCAAAACCATAATTATGATTCCATTTGTATAGTTGTATACAAAGTCTGGTGACCCATATGCGCACCGAGCAGTGCCCGATAAACACATACTACAATCGGCTAGATCAGTGGTTCTCAGCCTGTGGGTCGCGACCCCTTTGGGGTCAGACGACCCTTACACAGCGGTCCCCTAAGACCCTCGGAAAACACATATTTTTTAAAGGAACAACGAAATAATTTTATGATTGGGGGTCAGCACAACATTAGGAACTGTGTGAAAGGGTCGCGGTATTAGGAATGGGGCAGATAATAACAGTGACCCGACCTGCCGGCATTGCAGCCTGGTCCCAGAAACAACAGCTCATCTGTTGACCGAATGTCCGTCACTAGACGTTTCCAGGGCGGAAAATGTTATATGGCACATCCCAGCAGATGGAGCGGGTTGCCAATGTACTAGCCGGCACATCCCAGCAGATGGAGCGGGTTGCCAATGTACTAGCCGGCACATCCCAGCAGATGGAGCGGGTTGCAAATGTACTAGCCGGCACATCCCAGCAGATGGAGCGGGTTGCCAATGTACTAGCCAGCACATCCCAGCAGATGGAGCGGATTGCCAATGTACTAGCCGGCACATCCCAGCAGATGGAGCGGGTACATCCCAGCAGATGTAGCGGGTTGCCAATGTACTAGACGGCACAGCCAAGCAGATAGAGCGATTTGCCAGTGTACTAGCTGGCACATCCCAGCAGATGGAGCGGGTTGCCAATGTACTAGCCGTGGTTTTAAGAGAATAGGCCCAAACCTTCATCGGAATCTGTGTGTTAGTTGTATACATTAAACATTGAGAGTTAGTATTGAGTTACAGGGTGTGGTTATTACATCAGAGTCGTTTGCTATTTTACTATAGTTAACATTGTGCTGAGGAAAAAAAACAGCTAAGAAAATGCTTGGTAACCAATCACATGGGTTAGAGAGTCTATTTTTAGCTCATGACACGTCACCGCCGTGGGGAATCGCATTAATCTAATTTTAGCAGAGGTTCCAAGCCAGCGGTCAGCGGGCCACTCGTGGTCGGTCCTCAGAATGGTCTAATGGCGGTCCGCTACTGCCAACAGCTGATTGAGATGAACGTAGTAGCGTCACGGTTGCCTAAGGCTAAGCATTTCCAAATTTTGGTCCTGACTTTTAATCGGGTGTTCAATAATTCACATGTTGTCGCCCCATCGAGTGAATGTCCTTGTAGAGCCACGCCCAGTCATGGAGAATCTCTTTCGGGGCACACCCGTTATTTTCCACACAACGTCGGGCCGCAGACAACCAGGGGCCACAATGTTGGCTCTGTGTGTACTAACTCACGCAGCCATCCTAACCTGTAGGTACACGCGTACACGGGATTTAAAAGTGTAGTTATTGAATCGTGATTGATTTTTATTTTCTTGTGGACGGTAGATGATCGCTTAAAAACAAACAACAGCGAGAAATCTAGAAATTCAGTGATTTTGGACATTACCAAAGCTGTTATGTTGTTGTTGTGTTTGTTTAAATTGGCAGATAGATACCACAACCATAATTTTAAAACCTGAGAAAAAACAGTAAGATCATAAGCATGAGTGTTATTTTTTGTTGAATTATTTTATTTTAATTAAATTTTTATTTCATTGCATTAACTGCCTCATAAATTTATGTTATTTTTTTTTTTTTAGTTTTTGTATGCATCACTTTGGGAAATTTATTATTTAATTTTTTTTTTCTTTTTATACTTTATGTGCCTTTATAAAAAAACAGTAAGATCATAAGCATGAGTGTTTTTTTTTGTTGAATTATTTTTTTTTAATTAAATTTTTATTTCATTGCATTAACTGCCTAATAAATTTATGTTATTTTTTTTTTTTTAGTTTTTGTATGCATCACTTTGGGAAATTTATTATTTAATTTTTTTTTTCTTTTTATACTTGATGTGCCTTTATCACTCGTACAGCGGTCTCGCGCGCTGACGTCACATCGGTGACTCACGACACAACGAGTTCTCACGGTAACGACACAAAGTAAGTCTCAACAGCAACTGTAACACAGAATTCTTTAACTGACCCTTGGGCGACCTTTTCAGCGTTCAATTTTCGTCTGTTGGTCGAGGTAAAAATCTTGCGTCATATTTAGATCCCATTCCTGATGTCCAGTTGACCCGAAACTTTTTTACACTTACCCACTAGGTCATACTTTTGAAGTGTATATATATATATTTCCGTTGACCCACTTCCCGTCAACCCATTAAGCTGAAACTTGGCATATAGACTCGAAATCAATGACAACACCTATCAAATGTTCATGCCCCAACTCCAAAAAATTATTTTTTCCATTTTTTCAAGGGGCTATTTGAAGGCAATAGGTTCACAGTGATTTCACGAAATCAAATCCCCGATAATTGCTCTGAGTGAGTTTCTTATTTCAACACAAAAATATCGTCTGAGTTTGCTGGCAAACATTTTATTTTGTTTTTCTGAAATAGTTGAAGAAATAAATCTGTGGTGAGTGAAATAAATATGCGTTTTCGAGCTTTGGGGGGGGGGGGGGCTTTATAAGGATTCTTATAAAGTGCGTTGCTTTTATGCACGTTTTGTCAAATTTTCAGCCCCATACTCCGCTGCTCGCCCCACACTCCGCTGCTCGCCCCACACTCCGCTGCTCGCCCCACACTCCGCTGCTCGCTATTACTTTTTATCATGGATCTATATGAAAAACTTTGTTTTAAAGGAGTTGTTAAATTTCCGTCCAACTTTGCACAACACCAACAATGTCTGCGCAGAGACCAGAAAATATTAGAGTGAACATTGGTTCGTTTTTAATTGCAGGTTTTAAATTTTATTAAAATGCACTACTCAAAGAAAGAATGTCAAAAGCGACCATTGATGCATAGAATTATCATTCAGCTGGCAGGCTCTTTCAACTCATCATTTTTTGGGGTTATAAACCAATTTTGTGTATTTCCAGTTCCACTACAAGAGATAGGCATATCTACCTCTACAAAAGCACAAATCAAGTCTACCCGATGGTGCTCTTCGCCATAGGTGTACCTGCCAACGTCCTTACCATTGCAACCATCGCCAGGATGAATGTCGTCACCCCTGCCACCATCATGGTCGCCTTTCTCGCCGGCATTGACATTACTGCACTGACGTCGAAGCTCACCATCATAATTTTAGGGTATTCCCTAAACATTCTCGGAAAATCCATTTGCGAACTTTTCCCTTTCACCGGGTTCTACTTTGTGATCTTGTCCAGTTGGGTTGTTATTCTGATATGCGCTGAACGGTTCGTCGCCATATGTTACCCCTTACGCGCGGGGAAAATTTTCACAAAACGTCGCAGCTGCATCATCATATTTGCGCTGACGACCGCTTTCGCGATATTTTTGATCGTGTTTGGAATGACAAGGGGCCCCCTGGGGACTATATCCCGCTTCAGCAAGCTTGCGGCGAGACCACGTCCGGGAATCTTCTTCGATGGATGAGCATCGTAGGAATGTTGTCCTTCGGCGTCCTCCACCTTTCCATTCCGCTGCTGACCATCGCCACGGTGAGGGGGCTCGGCGCCGCCACGAGAGCACGCCGCGTGCATCTGATAAGCGGCACGACGTGTGGTGACGATCCGGACAGCACGAGGTGCATCGTGATCCTCAGGTGCGCCCGGAAGGCCGAGCGCCTGGAGAGGACGATGACGTTCATGATGGTGGCCGCCGCCGCCATCAATCTGGCCTTGACCTTCCCGATGAGCTTCGGGTACCTGGTCAGCTACGTGTACTACTCGGTCGAGTCACGGTTCGGCTTCAGCCCCGAATACTTCTGGATGGCCGTCTTCCTGATGGACACGAACCACGCCATCAACTTCTTCGTGTACTTCTGCGCGGTGAAGAAGTTCGGCTGGCGCTGGTCACGTGTTTCCGTTGTGCTGGGTGCCCACCGGCTCAGCTTTTGTCAGGTCAAAGTCAGGAGTCGGACCTTGACTGACGTGGTAGAAGGGTCTAACTGACCCAGATTTAGAATAGATTTAGAAACAGATTTTTTTTCCACGCAAGTGCCAATCCCCAATCCCCATTCTTGACTAAAAATTGTTATAGCTAAGAAAAAAAACAACAACACTACTCCGCGTGAGGGGTTGTGGTCATCATATTCACAGAGGCTTTACCGGGCCGTGCGAAGGAAAAAGCTTGTGTGCTGACTGAAATTTGTGACACCTTTCACCATGTTTCGTTCAAAAACGATTGTTGGTATATTTTGTAGCGTAGCCAGGCAATGTGCGACCAGAGCCGGACTTGAAGTGTGATGGATCCCCTCCACAGAGAATTTGGGATCAATTCAAAATAAAGGGATTCAGTGCGGCGCATTTCTGAATGTAAATTTTCATCTTTCTTCACTGAACTGGAGAGCGGGAAAAATCCCCCCCCCCTTTTTTTCCCCCACTTCTTTCTCACTTAAATGAATATATATAACAATTTAAATTTAAACGATTTTTTTTTTTTAAAGAGACTTTTGCACGAGAAATCTTAAAATGTCACATGTGTAAACAAAACAACAACAACAACAACAACACATAATGCCTCATCCACAGAGATGATGTCAGTGAGACCAGAGAGAAAGTCTTTTCTTTTCATTAAAATTCCTCTGAACTTTGCATATCATCCAATTTTAACATCGATATTAAATGATTGATGATTTGTGTTCGAATGCTGATGACATTGGCTACTGTTATTATTACCATGAGTTGTTGACCTGTTGTCTTGAACGTTGAACGGTAAACTATTTAATATGCTTTAGGGGTACAGGAACATTAATGATCAATCGTGTTATTTTCAAGCATTTTAAACAAATCCTGCGTCTCATAACAAAGGTTAAAGGTCAAATTGTTTGTCTGCAAAGTACAATAAGGCTTTCTTTTTCTCTCTTTACTCTTACAAGTGTCACAATTGGATGAAGTTAATAGGAATTTAAATTAGATTTTAAAAGTTATACTTTTATACTACACTTTTCAAGAACTATAACTACACCGACTGTTATAATCTCTTTAGAACTGATGATATTGTCTGGTGTTTACCAATCTAACTTTCCACACTATCGACATATGTTAGACCTACATAAATGTACAGTTCAAGCTAAAATAAAATAAGCATTAATAGTTTCATTTTTTTTAATATAACGTTTAAATGTTAGTCATCTGTTGTTGTTGTTTTTAAACGTAAATGAAACATTGCAAAACATTAATTTCGCCGTTCCTATCAACACATCTAATCTCGTAGTGGAAGTGAGGAGTCGTCATACCAAAGACGTCATCAAGACGCCGTTGTCATCTTTGGGAAGACATTTCAATCTCTGAAATGCAGCAGAACGGAACCGGATCGGAACAGACACGTTTTAGCCAAAGCCTGACCAAGACATCTCCTTCTTCCAATGGAGAATGGCATCAGACGCTCATCAGCTTTGGGATTCCCTCAGCCGTCTATAGAAATCTTTCAGGTCTCAACGTTTGAGGATCCCCCCAGATGTGTTCATCGCGGAGAACATAATCAAGACTCGGTGTTATCCGGGTTCCCTTGGGAATGAAATATCCTCCAAGTGTAACGTCCCGGTGCATTGATAGGGAACATTCAAGGGAACCACGCTGGCCAATCGCTGGCTCTCCGTGATTTTGGCGCTCAGATATTTCAGTCGCGGTCTATCCGATAGCTTTGGCATTCTGTCCTTCCCGACTTGAGCCATGAATTCTCGGTAAACTCTTTCCTGTTCGTATGGGAAGTGCAGTGCATACAACATACACCATGCATCGTGGAGGACAGAACCAAAATTAGTATTATCTGGGTTCCCTTGGGAATGAAATATGTCCTCCAAGTGTAACGTCTCCGGTGCATCGATAGGGAACATTCAAGGGAACCACGCTGGCCAAAGCCATGATCTCTCGGGAACTCTCTCCTGGTTTTCTGGGCATGGCAGTGCATACAACAGACACTATGAGACCGTCAACGTTATGGTCTCTGGTCCCGCAACAAGTAAGTTGTCCTGATCCCGCAACAAGTAAGTTGTCCTAATCCCGCAACAAGTAAGTTGTCCTGATCCCGCAACAAGTAAGTTGTCCTGATCCCGCAACAAGTAAGTTGTCCTGATCCCGCAACAAGTAAGTTGTCCTGATCCCGCAACAAGTTAAGTTGTCCTGATCCCGCAACAAGTTAAGTTGTCCTGATCCCGCAACAAGTTAAGTTGTCCTGATCCCGCAACAAGTTAAGTTGTCCTGATCCCGCAACAAGTTAAGTTGTCCTGATCCCGCAACAAGTTAAGTTGTCCTGATCCCGCAACAAGTTAAGTTGTCCTGATCCCGCAACAAGTTAAGTTGTCCTGATCCCGCAACAAGTTAAGTTGTCCTGATCCCGCAACAAGTAAGTTGCCCATCCATGCAACGTGTTAGAGTGAGTTCATTGAGTTCATTGAGTTCATTGAGTTCATTGAGTTCATTGAGTTCATTGAGTTCATTGAGTTCATTGAGTTCATTGAGTTCATTGAGTTCATTGAGTTCATTGAGTTCATTGAGTTCATTGAGTTCGGTAGGTTCTTCCGAGTCCCTCTTTTTCTCCAGCTCGCACAAGTATTCCAACATGAAATTGTTTCAATGGCTTGGGCCCTAAGAAGGCTTTGTTTCTGCCACCATTTGGACTGTCAAGGCCATAACCTCGCGGGTCACGGTCAAAAGTTTCCTCATTGGAAATGGATCTTAAAGTTCGTGTTGTAGAAATGGAACAAAAAGCGAAGCCGGGCTAAGAAATACTTGAAAACACGCTGGAGAGATGTAAATGGTTCAGGAGCATGTGGTCATTGAGTTCGTATCTCTTGCCCCGTAGCATTGCACAAATGATGTTGGAGATGCAAGCATGAGTTCAATCTTTTTTTTTATCAGATGGTTCACCGTTTGTCTTTGCAAGTTCTGCGATGTAACACTGTGCTTCTTCCGATATCTTTTCAGCCATTACATTTTCCCCCATGCCAAGTTTTCTAAGAATGGACAAAGCTGCAGCCCTTTGCTCTTTCCAAATTTTCCCCCATGCCAAGTTTTCTAAGAATGGACAAAGCTGCAGCCCTTTGCTCTTTCCAAATTTTCCCCGATGCAACAGTAACGGCTATTAAAGATTCTGGAATATTTGCAAAAAAAGTATATCACGATCCGGTCTTCCGGACAAGTCTTGAGATTGCTTGACTAGCGCCTCTTTTATCCGGTCACACCCATTATCACGATCCGGTCTTCCGGACAAGTCTTGAGATTGCTTGACTAGCGCCTCTTTTATCAGGTCACACCCATTATCACGATCCGGTCTTCCGGACAAGTCTTGAGATTGCTTGACTAGCGCCTCTTTTATCCGGTCACACCCATTATCACGATCCGGTCTTCCGGACAAGTCTTGAGATTGCTTGACTAGCGCCTCTTTTATCAGGTCACACCCATTATCACAACCGGGAGAATCGAACCCACCTGAAAACTGAAAGTTGAGCCAAGTTCACGGGGCCATTTTCATAAACTGTTTTCTGTCCAACAAGTGGCAATGACCTTTACAGGCAGGGGCGAGGCCAGGCGATGGAGGGTAGTTCTTGGGTCGTTTTGGGGAGAGAATCCAGGAAGTCACAGGTATTAAAACTAATGACGTCAGGCATGCTGTTATGTTTAGACATGGGACGTTCTCCCAAAACATTCTGAAAAATATTAGAGAAATAGTTGCGATAGATTAAAGACTCTTTAACTTCAATAGCGAAACAGTGTGTTTACAGATTCTGCATTAGGAAATAAAGTAGTAAAATTCTGACGAGCCAGCCATCTAAATACTCATCATTAGTTTCCATGCCTGGGACTGAATGTATTACATATAATTAAACCAATCCTAAAATAAAATAAATGTTCGTATAAATCCTTTTTATGCCTGTTTATTATTTTATTCCAGATTGATATTCTAACGTCCCCACCTTTAAAAAAAAAAATTAACCTATCTCCATTCGACTTGGGGGGCTGCTATGAGGTGAAGGTCACGCTCAACTGAAATGCCGGTGTACTGCTACCGGTTTAAATAGCTATGCATTTTTTATGTGTATCTGATACCATACCACAACCACGAGATTGCAGAGCGTGCTGTTTAAATCCTAGTGAAGTTAATAATTTTCTACATCAATTTCATGTTTATGTATAGTTGTTAGGCTTAAATATTCAACTTCTAAATTAATAACTAATCGTCTGGTTAGTTGTTGTTTTTAAAAATCGTATGGTGACTTGTTACATTTTTTTAAAAAATAATTCATACAATTCGTTATAATATGTCATACTATTATATGTAGCGGTGATTGCCACAACTCAAACATCTCTATCGCCATGCTAAAAACCAAAGAGTATAAGTATAAAATAGTCTTA